TTTTTTTCCCGGATTAATATCATCGTACTTTTATCCACAACAGAATATGTATTTCTATCATTTAATAATTCTTGTATCCAGTTTGTATACATTCTATCAATTTTTCTTCAAAATATGTTATTTAACTACCGATTTAAATGTTTATAATGTTACATCAATTATTTTGCCTACTTTTAATCTTGACATTGGTCTCTTAACGCGAGTTCTTATTTACTCGATTTAATGAAAATTATGTAATAAATAATATTTCATTAATTTCATCGTCTCAATTTATTATAATTTATTATTATTCATTTTCGCATTTCAATTTTTGTAAAAATTATTGCTACTGCAAAAGAATCCGTATAGTCATACTATTAGTACGATTAAGAGAAAACTTTTTTATCATTATTTTTATCATTAATTAATAAATCATTTCAGTATTCCATATCTTGAATTTGTTGACCTTTCCTCTATATATTGCATTATATAATACGAATCATATTAGTATTTACCTATTTTATATATTGATGTAAATTTCAGAATTGACTTTTATACATCTGAGGTATACATCTATAAGAAACCAATGAGAAATTAAGCAAAAGAAGAATAAAAAAGAGATAAAGTTTAATATTCACACAAAACTCAACACTATTAAAACTATCAGAAATATGAATAGAAAATGGAGAATAAATGAAACTTAGTCGGCATGAAATGTCTGGTATAAAACACTCAAAATTCGCCAATGGATAGAGGAAACATTCCGCCCTTTGCACTGTTTTTCTATGTAAATTTGTATTTCAAACGATTAAACAGCGAAAATAACTTCCCTCGATACCCCTGTTTAAACTTTCAAGTTTCTCTCTCTTTTTTTAAGCTAACTTCCGAATTGATCGTAAAAAAAGTCATCAAGCATGAGGAATTTTACCAAATTTACCAAAAACAGTAATTAAATTAAAATAAAAACTTTTTGATTGAGTCAATGATTAAGTCCTTTTATCTTAAAATTTTTCTTAAATAAATATTGTTCAAGAAAATCACAAAAAATATAATTTATTAATTTCCTTCGGAACTTAAATGATAAATTTCCGTGGATTTGTCATGCAAATTGGAAAAATGTCATGAAAAATAAAAAATAAAAAGCTTGGAACTATATCAGTAAACATAAATATTGTAAATAATAAAAAAAATATCTGTATTATTATACAAATATAAACAATAAAATATTATTATTATTATAGTCGATTTGTAATTTATAATGCATTAAATTAGAGCAAAACATTCAAAATTAATTTTGATAAAGTAGTCTTTAATAAAAAAAGGTAAAGACAATTAGAAAATAAATCAATTCTTAATGAAAAATAAGAATAAATGGAAAGATAAAAGATACAACTCATATATTTATAAAAGAATAAATAGCATTTATATCGTTGATTTTTTATCAAGATCAAAAACATTATAATATATAATTCTTTTTTATCTTACATTTCCATTACGTTATCTTTTTCAAATAATAATAATATAAAACATATTTCTACAATCTCTTATAAAACTACCAACATTAAAAACTGATATATCTTTCAAAGATATCACAATTAAAAATAAACTAATACTAAAAATATACTAATATTAATAAACTAACTAACTTTTATTTAAGTTAAACGTTTGTGTAGATAATTATTTGTGCATTTTATACTAACTAGATATAATAAGTTGCTTTTCTTAGTTTTATGTATTATTTAATTTCATAGAATGTCTATGTATGTACGTCTATAGATATCTTTAGTAATAATCTTTGAAATGTTTGATGATTATTGAATTTATTAGCAATATAAAACATAATAAAACATAAATATGAATATGTATAATATTCAATAGCATAACGTGCTTATACGTGTGCATAACGTGCACAAATATATTCATATTCATCAGTTTTATTATATTACATATTTCAAAAAATATAAAATGCTTAGTTTCATAATAAATTATAAATTATATAATAAACTAAATTGAAAAAATTATTTTAAAACTAAGAAAAAAATGTAAAAAAGCATTATATATTTTTTTTCATAAAAAATTAATAACTTCCTTAATATTCCTATTATGTTGATAAGTTATATAAGTCATTTAAAAATCATATAAAAATAATCAGTACAATTGAAAAGAGAGAATCTATGCAAGTCATGATATTTATTATTTACTTTTTTCATTTCTCATTAGCAAACATTGATCATTTACCTTGTATGATATACTACTTGTGATATAATACATCGGAATAAATATTGTATTATATATTTTATTCATCTTCAAATACGATGCACGCGTTGAATATCTTGAAAATTGAAGATGCGCCAGTATTTATCGTATACAATTATATTGATGATTGTGAAAATAATGTCTTGCATACAATATTTTCATATTTCTTTCTTCTCCAAGCGGATCTAAAATCCGTCAACAGCTGCAGCGAAAAATCCTTTTTACTATATACGATTGGTTCGACAGTTTTTTCCATAGTCTTCAGAGTAAATTTTTGTAAAAGATGAGCTATCAGAATCTTGGTTTCCATGAGAGCAAATCGATTGCCGATACACTTTCTAGGCCCATGAAAATGGTAGGTAAATGTATGGTAAAATATTGTCTTTGTTCTCATCGCTAAACGTCTCAGGATCAAACTTATTCGAGTTCGGAAAATATTGCGGATTGTGATGTAAAGCATAAACGAAAAACATCAATACATTGTCTAGTTCAATAATGATGTTCTTGTAGCCTGATTGTGATAGAGGCAGTTCGTATTTCTTGGTGCAAAGTCTATCAGTGAAGACCACTGATGGATATTTTCTTTGAGAGCTTCAGAAATCACCATATCCATAAGATGTCTTTAACAACGATTCGTAAGAAATCTCACTATTACTTTTGACACAATGCTATTATATCTCCTTGCGCAAACGATCTTGAATATCTGAGTTAATCGTTAATTCATGAGCAACAAAGCATATCAATGTTGAACTTATTTCAAAGCTAGCAAAGAAAAAATGAAAACTTGCGAAACGATGTCGTCCAATGTTATTTTGTGAGCACTGGCATTTTTCCTGTCCCGAGCATTAGTAAATAAATCATATCCAGTCTTATGATATCTTGCTCTTCATGCGTTTTAACAGGCGTTTCTCTTACGAGTCTCCTAAAAAACTTGGTCGTAGCCAACGGGAAGAAGCTCAGACCAACTGTTGAAGCGAATCGCGGAAAAGCGCGTAAAATCATCACTTTTACAAATGTTAATAATCCATTAACAAATTTGTTTCCACTCCTCTTATGTAGAATTCATTGTTTGGATCCTTCATAAAATTTACGTTTATGCCGAAAGCTGTCGTGGCGATTACGTCGGTAGTATACCATCTGAAGATCTCCTTTGTTTCAATTGAATGACAGAGTTTTGGATGTACGACCAAATAATCGACGAAATCATGAGAACATTTTGCTATCAATTCGAACATGAATTTCATCTTGCTGCCAGTGAAAGAAGATGTATTCAATGTATTCCTCATTTCTCTCCAATGATCTCCACGCAAGGAAAAGATATTTTTGCCAAATAGCGGTTCCACAGTTTCATCCACGAAGCTGCGATGATCATGAAAATATTTAAAATCTTTCACGGCATCTTTGATTAGTTCGGGCTCACGTAAGAGTACAGCAGGCGTGGAAAAATTCATTACTCCAACATATTTAGCGTCCGGGAAGTAACGGTATAAATACTGACAATAATCGGGGAAAGAGATACGATTCACAAACAATTTCCAATCCGTTATAAGAGATAACGAATCTGGTAAGTAACGCCCTTGTCCTTCCAGTAAAAATACATATGATATAGCAAAACGACAAATTTCAGGACACTGATGACAATCAGAGTAATTAATAATAACACAAAGAGCGACGAGAGCAATGAATCCATCGTGATATCAGGATATAACAGACTGACGAGATGTTTCATCAGGCGCAACGTTATAAATACGTAGCGCATATTTTATCACAAAAGAGGTGAAGATGGAAAGGAAAAAATGTCTCTCGCTATCATGACGATAATACATGTTACATCAGTAATTGCGCAACAGCTATTAGTCGGTTTAAATACGCGCAACACGAATATATGCGAACATATCCTGAGTTTTATCAAAAAAGTTTCAAACATTAACAAATTAACAAATTAATTCCAAAAATCTATTTCACGTTTTAATAAAAATTGATATTTTTCGTATAAAAATGCTTTCTAATAATTATTATCATTAGATTTATTATGCACCTTTTACACTTGTGTGGATTTAATATCTGACTGGACTATTACAAGATAAAAATAAATAATTAATGCAGATTTAAATGCATAATAAAAAATATAAAATAAAAAGTTTATGCTTTATTTTCTAAACATTGGTTATTTTTAAAGAAACATGTACATGTAAAAGTCTACAAAATCCTTTTTACGTAATTTTTGCAAAGAACCTTGTGATAAGTTATCTTTTTATATTTAGGTTCACTTTCGATATTTCAATTCATACGATATAAATATATACGTAAAATACTTGTGACGAGCATAAATTATTTTTATATTATTATTATTATTATATCTTATTATATCAATGTATTCATAATTTTTTCAAATTTAAAATCATACAGATTTCAACTAAACTCATTATAAAATAATAAAACACTGTTAACTGAAGTAGGTAAATGTATGATAACAAAGTATGTTGATTAAACAAATGTCAGAAATATCAATGGAACTTGATCTTTACTTGTATATTATTCGTAGACTGTAATAAAAATTCTTCGAATTGATTGTTATCATTAATTTTGTTTTGCTACTAAACACACACACACACACACACACACACACACACACACACACACACACACACACACACACACACACACACACACACACACACACACACACACACGCGCGCGTAGCTTCTTTCTCACTCTGTTTCATTAAAAAATAAATTGACATATCTAAGAATCTTATCACTTACCGATAAAGACAAAGATCTGATGATGCGAATAGCGCAGCAACATTGAAATTGACACTGTCTGAAACAATAAAAAAAAAGTTTATTATCAAATATTCTCGAAGCAGTCATAATCCTATCCATACAAATCGCGACACATACGTCACAATTATCATAAATATGATTAATATCGGTTAAAAATGTTAATCGGAATTATGAATTATGAGTATCCTGAAATTTTGCCTGAGTAGCTTTGATAAAGTTACGGCGTCACGTAAATTGCGAACTGATCGCTCGTAGTCGGTTAGCGGATTGAGCGAATGTTGAAATTGAATTGCGATCGGTTCAGATTGAACTAGCACCTGACACCCTCGAAGATAATCCGTTATTTGCAACTGGCAGCCTTAGTAACGAGGTCGTTCGATTTCATCTTATACGAATGCGCAGATGTTATTTAAAAAAGGAAACAAGGAAAAAGCGAAAGAAAGAGAACTGGTAAAAACTGTTTCTGATAAAGAATGATATTGACATAATGATAATATGACAATTATTTCTTTGTTCAAATTCAAAAAAATTTTATTCTACCGATATATAGTAAAATAAATGGTAATGGTAGTAAATGGTAATAATCAAATGTAAAAAAATGTAAAATACATAGAAAAAACATTTTTTATATATGAATTAGATTTCCAAAATAAAAATCTAATTTTAAATCTTTATCTTTTCATCATATTCAATTTGCTGCAAACTAGATATTCCTTATATTTTTTTATAAAAATCTTTATCGAATTAATGTTCTTCTAAACTTATCTCAAATTCAATCAAAACTTATCTTCTTTTTCCTTTTTTTTATGTACCAAGGCGAATAAACATCTCTTATAGTGAATTTGATTATATCTTGGCTATATCTCTATTTTGACAGTAACTATCACGATACGGTCAATCGAATTTGATATAAGAGAACCCCAGAGGGCCTGAGTCGGAGA